GTTTTATTTTCAACTGAATGATGGCACGCTGCATCTTTAATACTTGTTCCGAACCAGCACTAACTTAGTAACTGTTTGCTGAAGCCTTTTACTAATCATCAAAAGGTAACTACCGTAAATGCCACTTTGTGATCTTAAATGCAAGTCTTGTTTAGTTTTACCTAACCCTCTACAAAAATTGTACATACCCTTTTTGGCTGTCTTCTTATTATAATTTGACATAGGGGGCCTTGGGAAAACCTGGATTCATAAATGGGTGCAGATAATCTGAAAAGTTTGGGAACCACTGCAATACAAGATGGAGTTTATTGGTAGTTTGTCATGAGATGTGTTCTGCTCTAGGCTATGCATTTCCATTCCAAATGTCAGGACTACATTGTTAAAAATAAATGAAACAATGAACCTGATTGATAATGACAAGAAATGGAAATCTTGCTTCTCAAGAGGGCATTGAGTAACTTGCTTGTTTGAGAAGCACACGGAACCACATGGTAGATACTGAAGAATGTTTTCAATGACTCGTTAGTTAATCTCTTCACTCATGCAATTTCTCATGCTCTTATTGTCATCTACATCTCTGGCCTTAATAAAACTGTTGATATACACAGAGATTTAGCAAATACATTATCACAAGAACCATGCAAGCATAGGTTTATCTTAGGGTTGTAGCAGAGTAAGTTATAAAGTAGCACTTCTTTGTGTGTTGAATTTCCACCATAGTTAGCAGTTATACATGCAATTATATCAGAGATTTGTGTGGCTTATTTCATTTGTAATTAGGAAATGGAATGGGGTGTACATTTTTGTCAAGTAGATAATCTAATAGTTCCAAAATGTCTGAATCCCAGCTTCTGAAGGGACATAATTAATCAATGCTCTCCCTCCGCCTTCCCCCCTTGATCAATCTCTTATCAAAGCTTCTTCTTAGAGTTGGTTCAAACTAGCTGCAAAAGGCAGAGTACTACTTCTACAAGATTAGACATAACATGTATTTTTTTTTACACCTGCACTATGCTACATATGACTTCTCTGTACTATATCTGCTTTGCTCCTATTTTTTTCAACATGGTGCTGTCGATGCCACAACCATTTGCTTGTTTATTTTGTTGTTGTTTTTCCACTGTAATTCTACATTGAAGATGTAAGAATTGCATTCATTTTTGTTTTTCTATCATTAATTTATTTTATTTTTTTACATAATTAATTTTTTTTTAAATCATTGAATCTTCCCTTTACCAAATCTTTTGCTAATCCTATTTTTTTCTCACAAGGGAAAAAATAAAATGATTCATGTCTAAGACCATTGCTGTATGCTTTAGTATTGTGTGCTTGTGTCTAATAGAACTTTGGGGAAATAGCTGTTGTGCAAGTGCCTAACTAAAGGTTTTTGTACAGTTAAGGAAATTGTTTTTCAAACTAAACACTCCTGAACAATACACATAAACATGTTCTCAATATTTAACCAAAATACCACATGTGAAGATGTTCCTTGACATCACATCCATGGGGGGGGGGGGGGGCGCCTCAACCTTTTGGTGTGGTGCACAGGACTGCATAGAAATGATTTGTCTTTGGCAGGAATTGTAATCTTTTTTTAGTGATTTGGAGTTAAATTGAAAAAGTTTTTATAATTGAAATGACTAGTTAATGGTGCAAGATAGTGAAATATCAACCCAGTTTCTGGGAGGTTCTGCCGGCCATATTCAATGTTTCAGAGGGATGAAAAGTATGGTGTGGGTTTTACAAGATCCAAATTTGTAACTACTCTTGCTTGACATTAAACTGCACTTTTAGAACTTTTCTTCCCTTAAAATAAATCTAATAAACAATTATTTTTTTTATTTTTTTTTTTTATTAGCTTTTGAATGTTAAAAATTAATCACAGCTTCTAGATAGATATAATCAGTACTAGCATTTAAGTATTCTGAATAATTTTTTGTAACCCTTCCCCTTTTTCAGCCTTTAATTTCTGCTCTCCCAGATCAAAGTGACAGTTTTGTCAACTTTTTAACAAGGCTCTGGATTATGGATATGCCTAAAAGTTTTAATATGCAAACTTAACAGCTAAAATATACATTAACTGCTACAAAATACAAATGTTACATATACATTGACTACTGATAAATATATGTATATATCTGTGTGTGTGTTTATGTGTATGTCTATATACACAGATATATATGTATGCCTGTATGTATTGCATATATGTTTATACAGACCATACAACATACAAAGTTAACAGCAATTTCTCTCAAAATATGAATTATATTGCAATGGCAATTTTATCGTAGCCTAGTTTTTGTAATACACGCCTTAAATTATAGAATTATTTTTAGTTGGAAAACAGTCACCACAGTAACAGGCAACTTTGAGATGTCAACCTTGACCTCAGGGTTAATGAAAACTGTGCTTTCCCCTGTAACATTTCGGATTGTTGCCCATAGACATCCATGCTTCATGACAAGCTTCACATAAATAATTATTTACATTGTTTATTTGGCTGATAAGCCATGTATCACTATGTCAAGTTTGGTTCACGTACCAGTTTGTCTTCTCTTTTGTTTAGACCTCAGATGTTCCAATTCTTTCTCATACTGAGAGAGAGAGAGGAGTGTTACAAAGAGGTGCAAAGCTTTCTTAATGCTGAAAATAAGGCAGTTCCACTAAATATGCAAGTGCAAGGATATTTCATAAGCAGATTTAGATGGGGCTGCAGAACATGGTCACAATTGCTGTGGTTGAAGATGGAGTTTTTTCAAGAAGACATGAAGTGATCTAAGAGAGGTAACCACCAAGTCATAGGTAAGAACTTCCATGTACTGGTAATTGCAGGTGTGTCAACTTATTCTACTAAGCCTAATGTATAGTTACAATGTCATAGTAATTTTCCTAACACAAAAATTGAAAATATGGATAGCAATCTTTAAACAATTTTAAGCAATCACTTTCAAAATGAGTTGCTTAGTGTCTAAACGAGTCGATCCCAAGCTAGTGGACTGAAGTTCAATTCCCAACAATAACACCAGCACTCCCGGATGGATGGGACTCATTAACCTTGGATGGCAACTCAATCTAAGAGAAGGCAAATCCTGAAATCAAACTCGGGGATGGAGTTTCGTAGGCGGTATGACATTTAGACAATATCAATTCCTATGACAAAGGAAGAACGTATAAGAGCACAATGAAACAAAAGAAACTGCTGGTCGGCTTGACTAAGTCTTGCCATTAGATCAAATAGGCAAGGACGAAAGAGTAAGGCTGACCAATTGAGCAACTCTCCCTCAATTTAAACAACATACAGCTTATTTCAAGGCTACTACTCAAGTCCTAAATTGCCTTGGTCATCTTCTCGTGCGAAGAATGAACAATAATAATATTTCTAAGTAACAAAAATAAATGACATTCAAAAAGAAATTAACACCTTGATTAAAACATGATTTTAGAATGCAGAGGAAACATGAGACTTGAAGTAATAGAAAATTATTTAATCAACTGTTTTTTTTTAATAAGAAAGATCCAAACATATTTTGAAACAATTCATGAAGTAACTGAATAAAAATGAAACTCATGGAGAAAAAATAAACCATCAAACAGTAAAAGCAAACATGCACACAATGTAGTCTCATACACAATGCACACAATGTAGTCTCATGTACAATGTTAAAGGCTCTCTGAATATAACATGATTATAATCATCAATAAAATTATAAATGAATGTACCGGGTAATTTAAATTATTTAGTCAAATCCAAAACTATCATTTTAAGAAAAATTAATATTTAGAATTATTTGTTAAAAATATATTATTACGGTATAAACTATAAACATACTGCACTTTCAAGTTATTTTTTCAAGTTTTTTTTACGAGAAGAAAAAAAATAAAATAAATTAGAACCACAAAAATCAAAATTTGTATTTAAAAGAATTATTTTTTTTACAATAAAAAAGCATTCAAAACAACTGCTGAATGGATATAAAAGAAAATGTATTCAATTGGATCTATCCACATAATTCAAGTCATGTGTCCATGCCTGGAATCAAACAAGCTAAAGGTATTTCCAGTTGGTTGAAAAAGTAACCTGATGTATTTCATTATGTCAATTAACACACACAAAAGTCTCCCTGACAATTTTTAAGTTGTTATTTTTTAACTGAACTGTACCAGAACACAGAAAACTAAATGTTGGAATTGTAAGATCCTGTTCACAAATGTGTGTGTTTGAGCTGAAATTTAAGCAAGCTGCTTTTGCTCGAAATAATGTACAAATGTCTGATGTTATAAAGCATTGAAATTATTAACAACAGCATTTTAATTATTCAAATGATTCAAACTAATATAAAAATGTAAAAAAAAATAAAAAATAATAATGTCACTTATCACAGTTTCCGATTTGAAACATACCCTCCCTTCCCTCCTAAAAATTTTTCTCTCTTTTAAAAAAAAACATTAGCATCAGTATATGCAGTATTCACACTATCTACAAAACAAAATCATAGACTTTGGTTGCCAGACGAACCTGTCAAGTCCAATACAAGAGGGTAACTGGCACCCATTGAACCACACACTCTAGGAATGTACAGTTAATAGAAAACGAGATCGCTTAGTTTAAATAGAAAATATCTGTTTAATTCGACAGACTATAGAGATCACTGTTGTGTCAAAGATTTTTGATACCGGTAACTTTTTATAAACTATATGGCCTTAAATAAAATTTCTTTGATTATTTACAACACTTTTTTGCTACCGACCTGTTTGAGGCTACGGTACCAGACAGCACAACTAACAGGAATTTTAAACAACCAAATGATGTTTTCCAAGTTACATACCATTAGAAGTAGAATTTAGCTTTCAATTAAAAACTTTCTGATTATTGCATTACCTTTAATTTGTACTTTGAAAAAATTGTTTAATCAGGCTCACAATTTAATTTTTAAACATAATTCCAAAGCAGTACCATTGAGCTAAACAAATCTGAACGACCTAAGATGACAAGAAATCTACCAGCTCCCAGCGTTAGATTCTTTGTAGCTATATTGCTCAGCATCTAGCTTGATAAGGCAGAGGTTTCTCAGTTTCTTTTTGAACATCCAAAGATTTAATCAATCGATAGTTGTTCACCTGCAGAGTGCAGAGAGTACAAATATTCAATGGCTTTAGAAGAACATTTAGGGATTATTTCAGGGCTAAGGCAGGTGGTCAGAAACTGGTCAGAAACAAGAGACTCTGGCGCTTTTAAGAAATAGCTATGGCACTATTTTTTTGCTAGAAATAGATAAGGCACTATTTTTTGGCTAATCTATAAAATGACATTTTAAAAATCTGTCCCTGCTCTCAAAATATTATCTCAGGATAATCGCGGTATCTTGCACTCTGGTAACCTAAAACTAAAACCAATTCCAAGCAAACCATATTGTTTTGTTCTTTCAAGAAATCTGCGCTAACTTGTGAAGTAGGCCTACCATTTATAGTAAAACAAAATCAAAGACTACATACCATCCTGGGTGTATGTCTCCAGAGTCAATTTGTTCAGTTTGTTCAGTAACTTTTTTTCAGCTATGTCTTTCAACAAAAAGAATTGTTTTTAATGAAACAGTAATAAAAAAATTAAATACAAATTGCAAAAGAATCTTTAAAGAATCCAAATCACTTTTACAAATGAATATAATTATTCAGACATAATTATACAGAAAATATTTGTTTATTATCAATTTTCCTCACCCAAAGGCCCGTCAGTAAAATCCTTCCCAACATTATTCTTTTCCGCCAACTTTCTATCCACACATGTTTCAATCAGAGCATTCATTAGCTTGGCCTTAAATCACAGAGACATGTGTGGAGTCAATAATCAAAGTGTTCTTATGTTTTCAGTCAATAATCAAAGCATTCAAATCTGTTACTGTTAAGTCAATAATCCAACCATTCATCTGTTCAGTCAATAATCAAAGCTTTTTAGGTTCAGTCACTAATCAAAAGCTTGCATTGCGTTCAGTCAATAATAAAAGCAATCATGTGTTCAGTCAATAATCAATGCAATCATGTGTTCAGTCAATGACCATATATTTTTAATTTAACTGGTTATTCTTTTCTATATTAATAAACCTTCAGCTTCTGCTTTAATTAAGACTTCCTGTTACCATACATACAATATGTGATCAAAATAAAATATTGATTATTAATTAGCACAAAATTGTATTAGTACAAAGTGCGGAAATATTACCTAACATGCCAACATGTTTAGTACTTTATTTCGGAGCTATAAGCTATTATTTCTTAATTACTTTCTTCTAGAGCTATACTATAAGCTATTATTTCTTAATTACTTTCTTCCAAGACTATAAGCTATTATTTCTTGTACTTTCTGTGTAAAATATTGATTCCCGATTTGTAACAAGATTTTTAAAAATATTTTAATGAACGAATGAAGAGAAATATTTCTTTGATAATATACATTTTTGAAAAATAATTATTTTATTTTTTGCAGTTTCGTTTTCCAGTATAAAGCGTTTAAGTATTAGCTAAGAATGCCCATTAAGTAAATGTCTCTTAAGGCCAACATCTGTGTGTGTGGGAGAGAAGGTAGAGGGTGAAAGTGCTGGAGGTAAGTGGAGGTGATGGTAAGCAGAGTCTGTATGAGATTTGAGAGGGTAGGTGAAAGGATTGATGTGAAAACCATTCTCCCCCCCCCCCCCCCATAGGAGAATCATCAATGCTGACAGTTATGGGTGGTAATCTAGTGTCATAAATTATATTACAAAACTGAAAGTTCCATTACAAAACTAGAAGCCCTGCTGTTAAGTTAAACACTGCAGCACCTTTGTGGCCTTAGGAATCACCAATTATTTATTTCGATAAAATCAATTTTTATGTAGATAGAATTAACCATTTTTGTTAGCTTCAACGAAATTTTTGAAGCACCTTACCTCATAAGAGAAGATCTGTAGCAGTTTTGTAACAGGTTTACCCGGGGACTCTGCCGACTGCTCATCACACAGGAACTGCATCATCAGTGTTGGCAGTGGGTCGGAATCACCATCCCAAGGCAAGTCTCGGTAGTTCCACGACAGTTGGGAGTAAGGCACATAAATGAGAAGTTCCTGGGTTTTAATAAATAAATTAGTTGAGCTGATCTATTGTGACTCGCACCACAGAATAAGTCAAGTGCGCTAATCTATTGTGACTCGCACCACAGAATAAGTCAAGTGAGCTAATCTATTGTGACTCGCACCACAGAATAAATTAAGTGAGCTAATCTATTGTGACTCGCACCACAGAATAAGTCAAGTGAGCTAATCTATTGTGACTCGCACCACAGAATAAATTAAGTGAGCTAATCTATTGTGACTCGCACCACAGAATAAGTCAAGTGAGCTGATCTATTGTGACTCGCACCACAGAATAAGTCAGGTTAGTTTTGGTTAATAATTGAAATGCCCTTTCACAATTTGTGAAGAAATTATCAACTAAGTAAAGTTTATTGTACAAGCACTTCAAAACACTGTACTCCTAAGAGATGGCACTAGTTTACAGCCAACCTTATGAGGCATTCTAGCGCTTTCCTGATGCTAAACATGTTTGTTTTTTTTAGAAATGCTTTCTTTTATTTTTCTATTTTAAAAATCAAAATGAATTACACATTTTTACTTAAAAAATGTCCTGCCGACGTGGGCCATTTTTACAATAAATGCTTTGTGCAATTGTTTTATGATCAAGAGTAATTTTTAAATAAGGTAATTTAAATTTCTTAACTAGATATAGAAAAGTTTATAAACTCTCAGAAATAACATTATTTCAGTATAACATTAAATTCATGTGTTTATGGAAATTTACACTAAAACTTAAAGATCAGTCAACTGCAATAAAAAAAGAGCACTTATTATTGGCCGATCAAGTTTCAAATCTGGGTATAACTTGATCAGCTGATGAGAAATTAAACAAATTAGAGCTGGTACCCGGATCTCAAGGTGTTCCAATAATTTTAATATAGATGAAGCTCCATCATTAAAATGTGACACAGCACTATAGAATGCCTCCTCCACTGTTTCTTTTTCAACAAAATACTCTTTTTGAGCAACCATCCCAGATTAACTTATTTACGCATTCGTTGTTTTCAGTCTTTCCGTGAAGACATTAACTGAGCAACTGCTCGTTAGCTAGATCCTGAAATACAGGCTCAAGGAAGTGTATAACTGCTTCAGGGAGGCCATTTTTGTGTGCTTGCATTTGGTATGATCAAGCTTATATTTGCACCAGGAGTTGCTTGGGCAAAATGTATGATTAGGTGACTAATCGGAAGAACCCGACATGATGTAGTTCTTCTTTAAATCCATGTGCCATGTTCAAATCTAACCCAAAAAATGAATTGGACTATGTCAATGATATCACAAGATTCATCCAATGCAAGACTAAAACCGGTAGTATGTTGTCAAATCATGAAGCGACTGCTCAAATATATCCCCGGGCATATTTTCAACACGTCTTGCTGCAGTCTGGTGAGTAAGCTGAAGATTAGATATTTTTATTTTTTATTTCTTCTTTAATTTAAAATTCAGCAAATAATGAATCTGCACATTCTTAAAACAAAGTTTAACATTTTCACCGTCTGAATATTATTTTTTGCTTCTTAGCTAATATCCCGCTAATATTAAAAGATGCTTCAGTGGCACAGTCACTGGAGCTCAAAATCCGATGAAAAACATTTTGCTTGCCATTCAGATGACTTTCTGAAGAAATAACTTTGTCGTCTGTTAACTTTGTTCCAACTGGAGAGTCTTTCTCAAAATCTGCATGCACTAACTTAAGGTATTTCTTGGCCTTTTTCATAACAGAAATACAAGTCTGGCATATCAAACACACTGGCTTTTTATTGAACAATTTTTAAAAAATTCCAGTTCCCATGAAGCGCTTAAAAGTACGTTTCTCTTCTGTAACTTTCTGTTTTTTACATGCAAAGAAGCATTCGTACTGTCTCTCAGAATTTCTCTTTCTATGAATTGCACCAAATACAAACAAACACAGCTTTTATCCTGCTTTCTACTCCTGAAATTGATCCTACTCCGACCACTATACCATGTACTAGTCTAATTTCGTCTAAAAATAGATGACGGAGCTACTGCCCCCACCTGGGCAGACTGCCTAATTCGTTTCAACTGCTTCACATTCCCCTCCAGTCATTTGCGACACCTTTAGTGGCCCAGATCTCATCTTGTTAACCCCTGTCTTATTATTATCCTCCCATAAAGCCCAGTCGTTTAACATGTGGTGCTCACATATCTAGTTCATCTAAATCAATCCCGTTGGTGTGCAAGGACATTTTTACGGCGAATAGCTAGCTACGCATCAAGTTACCATACTTTAAGTTTCGAAATTCATCTCTCCAGTAGTAACACCGTTAGTAATTATATCCGTACAGCAAGACAAGCCCTGCCCCCTTTTTTAGGCTGTTCGAAGCAGCAGAAGGAGATGAAGTTAGTATCCGATTTCATGTCACCCCATGGTCCCACAATGTTCATCTGCTGACACACTTAACATAAATTACTGCCAACTGTCAAGCATCCCTCTTCTTTTGCCATGCTCTTTCTTTTTTTCGAATACCACCGCTTCTCCTGTGCTCTCATGCGATTTCCCAACAATACTGAATAACTGAATGTAGTTTGCTTTTTCCCCCCCATCTAAATCTAACATGTTTATTTTTTTTACACTAACGGTAAAAATGTCTCAAGCCACTTAAAACCAGTCCGCGGGACACAGCACTGATCTAGTTGAAATAAATAAATAAATAAAGCTCGGCAATAATAAAGCCTGTTGGCATCTCACCTCTTTTTGGCCGTTGAATACGGCCACACCGTCAGTATTGATACAAATATTCACCTTCATCAGAGGCAAGGAAGCAATGAGCTTGCGAAGCCTGTTGGCCTTGGGTTCAACTGAACCAAAGAAAAAAGCACCTCTGCAAAAAAACATAAGAAGCAAAGTTGGATTAATGAATGAAAGAAGAAGAAGAATTCTATGTGAACAGTGGGGACAGCAGTTACTGATACTCAAAACAAAGGATGGCATTAGGAAATGGTGACTGGCGTATGAGAAGTTAAAAATCTCAATGAAATACTCGAACATTGTCTTTTTTATTTTATGCTTGAAGGTATTTCACAAAACTGTACAGCTAGTGCTCAGCTTACGACCTATGCAACTTACGACCATTCAACTTTACCACAACAATCACTAGCCCTACTGTATTAGATTTCAGATTTATTTCTGCCTCAATTATCAGTCGAACGGGGTTGTCTGCAATCATCGGCGGTCGTGAACATCGAAAATTATGATTTATAACAATAATAAAAGAAATTTTTTGACATAATTTAACTTAAATATTTTTATAACATCACTTCACATTACTGTACACATAGTGTACTCAACTTACGACCAAATCATGTTACGACCGGTCTGTCGGAACCGATCGTGGTCATAAGTCGAGGACTAGCTGTAATTCTATTACAGCAAAAGTGTGTCGCTGTTGGACAGCTTTCATTACTAGGCATGGAGGGATTAAAGGATCCATGTCATCAATATATCCAAGCAGATATTTGGCTTTCTGCTATCTTACCCATAAAAGGGATAAGTCCACAAGACTTGCAGGTACTTTCTGTAATATTCCTTCAGAATGACCCTTGTGCCCGCATGTTCTGCACTTTCTTTCTTGTGTGCTTCCATAAACAGCTGCTCACAGGGCGTTGAACTTACAGAGCTGCGGTTAAAAAAACTGAAGCGACTCTGCACATACATGTAGACAGGATAAAACTTCTCAAGGTTGAATCTAAAAAAAAAAAAACCCGTATATTTCAGTAGACAACATCTTGGGGATATGAAACAACAAAAAGCCTGTACATTTCAGTAGACAACATCTTGGGGATATGAAACAACAAAAAGCCTGTATATTTCAGTAGACAACATCTTGGGGATATGAAACAACAAAAAGCCTGTATATTTCAGTAGACAACATCTTGGGGATATGAAACAACAAAAAGCCTGTATATTTCAGTAGACAACATCTTGGGGATATGAAACAACAAAAAGCCTGTATATTTCAGTAGACAACATCTTGGAGAGATGAAACAACAAAAAGCCTGTATATTTCAGTAGACAACATCTTGGGGATATGAAACAACAAAAAGCCTGTATATTTCAGTAGACAACATCTTGGGGATATGAAACAACAAAAAGCCTGTATATTTCAGTAGACAACATCTTGGGGATATGAAACAACAAAAAGCCTGTATATTTCAGTAGACAACATCTTGGGGATATGAAACAACAAAAAGCCTGTATATTTCAGTAGACAACATCTTGGGGATATGAAACAACAAAAAGCCTGTATATTTCAGTAGACAACATCTTGGGGATATGAAACAACAAAAAGCCTGTATATTTCAGTAGACAACATCTTGGGGATATGAAACAACAAAATGATTGGAGGAAGGAAATCAACTTTAAACTTGCCAGCATAATCCAAGCATTTATTGGTTTTAATATGTGATCTTATCAGGATCAGATCAAATTAAAAACATGGATATGTGTAAGTCTGGGTGTGAATATGTGTAGGTCTTGGTAGTGTGACTATGAGTAAGTCTTGTTAATACAATTTCATCAACAAATCTGTGTTAACTACCAGGATATAATCTTTTACTTACTTCAGTTTACTTTATTTTGGATTAGAGGCCGACCGAATTTCGGCTTTGGCGCCGAAAGGGGCCATTTTATCACTTTCGGCCAAGTTTCGGTTTCGGCCGAAACTGAAAAGTTGACTTTCAGTTTAATTTCGGTTTCGGCCGAAAGAGAAAAGCTAACTTTTGGTTTTTCTTCGGTTTCTGCCGAAATTGACTTAGACTTTCGGCCATCCGGCCGAAAGTGACTTAGGAATTCGGTCATTTAATACTGAGCGAAAGCGATATTTAACAAAAAACTAAGCGACATTTAAGAACAAATTAAGCGATCTTTGAGAATAAACTAAACGATATTTAACAACAAACTAAGCGACATTTAAGAACAAACTAAACGATCTTTAAAACAAACTAAGCGATCTTTAAGAACAATCTAAGCGATCTTTAATAACAAAATAAACGATCTCAAAGAACAAACTAAACGATTTTTAACGAACTAAATGATCTTTAAGAACAAAACAAAATGAGCTTTAGTAGTAAACTAAATGATTTATACGAATAAACTAAGCGATCTTTAACAGAAAACTAAATGTTCTTTAGGAACAAACAAAAATATCTTCAAGAACAAACTAATCGATCTTAAGGAACAAAATCAATTTTCTTTAAGAACATACTAAGCGATCTCTATGAAAAAACTAAGCGATCTTTAACAACAAACTAAGCGATCTTTAACAACAAACCAGGCTATCTTTATAAACAAACTAACCGATCTTTAAGAAAAAATAAAGCGATCATTAAGAAAAGTTGGACGATCTTTAACAACAAACTAAGCGATCTTTAACAAAAACTAAGCGATCTTAACAACAAACTAAACGATCTTTTACAACAAACTAAACGATCTTTAACAACAAACTAAACGATCTTTAACAACAAACTATACGATCTTTAACAACAAACTAAGCGATCTTTAACAAAAAACTAAACGATCTTAACAACAAACTAAACGATCTTTAATAACAAACTAAGCGATCTTTAAGAACAAATTAAGCGATCTTTAAGATTAAACTAAGCTATATTTTAGAACAATCTAAGCGATCTTTATGAACAAACTAACCGATCTTTAAGAACAGACTAACCGATCAATAATAACAAACTAAACGATCTTTTAGAGGCACAACTTTTAGAGACCCGGTTTAAAAAAATAATATTTTGCATTAATTTCCACCCCCCCCCCACCCATTTTTGCCAAATTTTCTCCTTCCATAATAATTTTAAAAAAATTGTAACGCAATTTAAATTACTTTTATATTAAAATGGTAAATCCAAAGTATTCATTAGATCAAGGATCTCAAACTCAAATCATAGG